TTTAGTTGTTATCACTGTTGTTGCAAATTGTATACGTTGTGGCTTTTACCAAAATTGTCCCTTATTCTTGTGTACTTCTGAGTGTCTTCTTTTACCTTGGTCAAGTTGTGCTGACTTCACCCTTATTCCATATTGCATTACCCATCAACAAAACTAGCAAGTGTCTCTTATCTAGTATCTAGAAAGTGATTCCCCTTCCTTCTCCCTTCTATCGCGGGTAACCACCAAAGAATGTTGCTTTCTGTATAAGTACCTATTCTTGTCCTTTTATAATAGTCAGATCATACAGTATTTGTCCTTTTGTGATTGATTTATATACTCAGCATAATGTCCTCCAGATTCATCCACGTTATAGTATCTTTTGAGAACTCATGGTTATTCTTTATGGCTGCGTGGTATCCCATTGTGTGTATGTACCACAGTTTGTTGGTGGGCAGTTACGTTGTTTCCATCATTTTTCTATTGTGAATAAGGCTGAATGATGTATGTACATAGTTGTGCATATATCTGCTCATGTTAGTAATTTCAGTTCTCTAGGGTATATACCTTGGAGTGAGATTGCTGGATTGTAGGGTATTTCTAGTTCTAGCTTTTTGAGGAAATGGCATACTGTTTTCTATAGTGGTTGAACCAATTTATAATCCCACCAGCAGTGGAGCAGGGTTCCAAATCTCCCTGTAACCTCACCAGCAGTTGTTATTTTCTGGTTTTTTGATCAGTGCCATTTTTGCAGGGATGAGATAGTATCTCATTGTAGTTTTGATCTGCATCTCTCTGATGGCTAATTATCAGGAGCATCTTTTCATGTGTTTATCGGCCATTTGAATGTCCTCTTTGTTGAAGTGTCTATTCCTATCCTTTGCCCAATTTTAATTAGGTTGTGTGTCTTTTTGTTGTTGAAATATTCTGTATATTTTAGATACTACTCCTTTACTGAATATATCATTTCCCAAAGAGTTTTTCCAAATCTGCAGGTTCTCTTTTTACTCTTTTGATAAAGTTTTTTGATGAACATACATATTTAATTTTTAGGAGATAAGTAATCTATCACTAAAAAAAAATAGGTCCCATAGTTTTGTCCCTATATTCTCTTCCAGGGGTCACTTGGGCAAATTTTAAAATATATTTCCTAGGGATGGCAAGTCTTTTTACATAGACATTATAATTATCATACATTTTTTATAGTTGGGGTACATTAGCTTTTAATCATAGCACTCAGCTCAGTGAAATGTGATGCTATTGTTTCCTCATATATGAAAAACATGTGAATTATGTTACTATTGTGATTAGAAAGTATAATTTAAATATAACTTCACAGAAATTGAAAATTAAGAATTTAAACAATCCATCTTTGTAACATCAAAGCTTAACAAGTAGATGAATGGAATGGCCAACTTGGCATAATTGAGATTTTCTAATGAGTAGAAACAAATGCCACTGTGTCCAGATGATTAAGTGGATAGCAGCTTGTGTAATGGAACACATGTCTCTTAATGTCCTCAGTGGCCCTCCATTCATTCAAAGAGCATACACTACTGCAGGAGGTTTTAATCTAGCTTATTTTGTGAGCTCAGGCTGTGTGATTACTTTTAGAATTGAACTTCACACCTGCCATGAAATTTACTTTCATCAGGAAAAGCTAAAAAAACAAAAGGCAACAGTCTTCATGATTCCTCATCTCTGAAATCCAGTTCACATTAGGAAACATAATTCACCAAATAGTTCACAGGGAAGAAATTCTTTGACCCATCCAAAGCTATAATGGATCGCTTGCTCCATGCTTGACCTTGCAGTTGCTTGATAGAAGCTCTTGAAGTTGTATGGCACAAATCAATGAAAAGCTGTATTTGAAAAACAGCAAATCATAAACGGAAGGACCAAATTTCAAACCACTCCTCCAGCTCAACTATAAATGAGATTGGAATTTATGAAACAGTTTCTCTATGCTTTTTTAAAAAGTCTATCTAAATGTTTTTATTGGAGAATAAGAGGTAATACAGCATATTAAACAACAGCAAACATCTGGCAGGCTCTCTTTAGCAGTCTAAAGGCAGCATTTCCCAAAGCCTACTCACACCAGTTACAATTATTTCAGACTTATTTCAGAATAAGCAGGTTGTGGACTTTATGCCAAACCTGATGCAATGGAAGGAATATTTGTACTGCCTGAAGAGTAATCATTAACAAGGGGCCCCTGTTCCCACCAGCACACGTGAAATACTTTTATTTCAAAAAAATAAGAATACTGGGGAAAAGCAAATTATCTAAACATTCCCGTCAAAAGTTCAAGTTAGTGTCCATCCTATACACTGTCAGAGTATTCCTTTTTTTTCCAAGTACTTTTTTTTTTTAATCGATGTAATTAAATGAAGTTTACATTTCAAGTTAGTCTCCCATACAGAATTTTTTCTAACATACATTGTTATGAGACCCCAACCGCTCACCCCATTCTGCAACAGCACACTCCTCCCCTCCACCCCTGATTCCCATGAACATTCAACCAACTCCTAACTCTCTCTGCCTTCCCCTCTCACCTCTGGACAGAAGCTGCCCCTTTGGTCTCTTATATCTACTTGTCTAAGAGGCACATTCTTCACGAGTATTACTTTATGTCCCACAGTCCAGTCCAATCCCTGTCTGAAGAGTTGGCCTTGGAAATTGTTTTAGTTCTGGGGTGATGGAGAGACCAGGGGCCTTGCTTTCCGGGGTGCCTCCAGTCTTAGTCAGACCATTAAGTCTGGTCTTCTTACTAGTATCTGAGTTCTGCATCCCATCGTTCTACTGCTCCATCAGGGACCCTCTGTTGTGTTCCCTGTCAGGATGTTCATTGGTGGTAGCCAGGCACCATCTTGTTCTTCTGGTCTCAGGCTGATGAAGTCTCTGGTTTATGTGGCCCATTCTATCTCTTGGGCCAATATTTTCCTTGTGTCTTTGGTGTTCTTCGTTCTCCTTTACTCCAAGATGTTGGGACCAATTGATGCATCTTAGATGGCCGCTTGCAAGCTTTTAAGAGCCCAGACACCACTCACCAAAGTAGGATGCAGAACATTTTCCTAATAAGGTTTGTTATGCCAATTGACCTAGATGTCCCCTGAAAGCATGGTCCCCAGGCCCCGCATCCCTGTTACTCTGTCTCTCAAAGTATTTGATTGTATTCAGGAAACTTCTTAGCTTTGCCTTAGTCTAGTTGTGCTGGCTTCCCCTGTAGTGTATGCTGTTCTCCTCTTCACCTAAGATCATTCTTATCTACTATCTAGTTAGTGATTAAGCCTCACCCTCCCTCCCCACCCCTGTAACCATCAAAGAATGTTTTTTTCTGTGTATAAACCTTTTCTTGAGTTCTTATAATAGTGGTTTTATACAGTATTTGTCCTTCTGTGCCTGACTACATTCACTTAGCATAATAAGTTCTAGCTTCCACCAAGTTATACGATGTTTCACAGCTTCATCATTGTTCTTTATAGTTGCGGAATATTCCATTGTGTGGATATACCATAGTTTGTTTATCCATTCGTCCATCGATGGGCACTTAGGTTGCTTCCATCATTTGGCTATTGTGAACAGTACTGCGATGAACATGGGTGTGCATATATCTATTTGTGTGACGGCTTTTGTTTCTCTAGGATATATTCCAAGGAGTGGGATAGCTGGATCGTATGGTACTTCTACTTCTAGCTTTTTAAGGAAGCTCCAAATCAATTTCCAAAGTGGTTGTACCATTTCACATTCCCACCAACAGTGTATAAGTGTTCCAGTCTCTCCACAACCTCTCCAGCATTTGTTATTTTGTGTTTTATGGATTAATGATAGCCTTGTTGGGGTGAGATGATATCTCATTGTAGTTTTGATCTGCATTTCTCTGATGGCTAATGATCGTGAGCATTTCTTCATGTGTCTGTTAGCTGTCTGAATATCTTCTTTGGTGAAGCACCGTTCATATCCTTTGCCCATTTTTTAATTGGGTTATTTGTCTTTTTGCTGTTGAGGTTTTGGAGTATCTAGATTATTCCTTTTTAAGCATAATTATAACAATTTTTTTCTCTCCATTTCCCACCCAAAGCCCCCCAAAACAAATGAACAAACAAACAAAAAAACAACCAAACCCATTGCCATCGAGGCGATTCCAACTCATAGTGATGCTATAGGACAGAGCAGGACTGGTGGATTCAAACTGCTGAATTTTTTGGCTAGCAGCTGAGCTCTTAACAACTGCGCCACCAGAACTCCCATTTCCCTCACTGACCCCCCTTAAAAAGAGCCAATAATCCGTCGTCATAACATTCACAATTCTTTACATTCTGGATCAAATTTATCTTTCTTTGCTATCGTTCATTTTCCAAGGCACTTCCCTTAAACACACTCACACTATCCCTAACTGCCCCTTTGTGTATGTTGTTGCCTTTGCTAGGAATGCCCATGTCAATGTTCAGCTCTCACGGGTTCACTTAATCAAATCAAATACCATTTTCTTCACAAAGTATGTAAGACCTATATTTCCAGCTGAATTTTATCTCTTCCTTTTCTGAATTTCCCTAACACTTTATCAATCATGAACCCTGAATTGATAGGTCAAGAAAACATGGTAAATTGTTTTCCTGTTTTTTTAATTTTATTTCATGTTTGTTTTTATTACAATTCATATAAGCTTTGAGCATTGTCTGTAGAATATTTTAATATTATGCGTTTTCTTTCCAGAGTTTTAAAATAGTATTGAATTAAAAAAATAAATTTAATTTAACATCATTAAAAATATAGCAATTTTGTCATTCATTCACTATTAATTAAATGTTAATACCTACACATATAGTATTTACTAGGTTCTAGGTAATAGTTTAATCCTTACAACCCTATGAGGTACATATTAATATTACACCCATATACAGATGGAAACTGAGGCTTGAAGTTAACTAACTCAACCAAGATCAAAAAAAGTAGCAATTGCCAGAGTATCCAGAGAGACACTCTGGTCCCCAATTCTGTACTCTTATCCATTTCAGTAAACTGCCAAGCCTTGTATTATATATTAATGATACAATTGTGATGAATATTATCCTAGAATCTGACCTCAAAGTCTAGTGAGGAATATAGGTAAATGACCAGAAATTACTCCGTAGCCTGCTACAATAGGAGCAACCGACCTAGTCAAACAGAGTAATAAAAATTAACATCTTACCTATTTTGAATGTAGCAATATGTGAGTGGGGAAGGGGTCTCGGCATTTCTTTTACAGTAGAAAATTCCCAAACTAAAATAAATAAATAAATAAACATAATTGTAGGTTATAATCTCCTTTAGAGCAATGGCCATGTTCATACTGTACTTTAGATGCTAAGGCTTAGAGACTCCATCATCATACCTAGAATAATATAATAATTTACTGATTAGGTTGATAGAAGAAGCAAGTAATAAAATAATTAAGCACTGAATTAATAAATAGATCATGAAGCAAGGAAGAGATATAGCCTGAAAATAACATCATAGAAGATTTCCAAGTGTATCAACCATAAAAGTAGCTGAAGTCATTGTCTCTCCACTCCCAAATATTTAACTTGACCACTTCCATTGTTAAGGAAGGGCTACCTGTCTGGTGCAAACCATTAAGCACTTGACTACTAACTGAAAGCTTGGGGGTTTGAACCCACCGAGAGGCACGTAAGGAGACAAGCCTGACAGTATACTTCTAAAATGTCACAGCTCAACTCGGCACACATGGAGTCTCCCTGAGTTGGAATAGACTCGACAGTAACTAACAACAACAATATTGAGGAAATGAAGATCCCTTGTATTTTAAAATGAAGTCATTTTTCCATCATGTTTTCAAATTCAATTAAGTTAAAAAAAAAAAAAAGGAGGAAGAAGAAAAAAAGAGAGAGAGAAAAAAAAGAAAAACTCACTAAATTCCCTTTAGGGAGTATTACCTATCATTTGCCATTTAGTTAGTAATTACACAAAATGGAGGCACAAAGCTGTCATCTGTACTTTGCAATCAAGTGCCAAATACAGGGTTATGATTCTGTTCTAGTTGGAATATTTTCCATTATTCTTCTTATTTAATAAACTGTCGCTTGAAAGGGGGTCTGAAAGGCTTCCTCACAATGAATCAAAGCAGTGTTCTGCCTTCCTTTTTTATTATGCATGCCACATTTGAAGCTAATGAAGCATAACCCCTGAGCTGATACTTTTATAGATGAAAGAGACATCATGGCACATCCTCTATTTATTTCATCAGCTAGCTGTAGCCAACCCAAACCACATTGATTGCCTTGCACTTCATTTTTGACAGATGATGGGCATTCGTGTTGATATCTTGTCTAATAATTTCCTACCATGGTCATATTTTAGGTATTAACTGTGAATAAAATTACTAGGAAAAATCATCTGCAATATCAATGGTACATTTAATTTAAGAAGCGTAGTGGGAATAATCCTGATCATTCTACTTTACAGAATTAGATATAGTCTCCCACTAGAGCAAATACTGTCTTGAAATAGTTATTTTTAAGAAGTGTAACATGATCTAACATTTTTATGAGTTTTTTTTTATTTACAAAAAAAATCTAGACAATCAGTTCAGATTAAGCTACATAATCTTCTCTGCAAGTAGGACTGCCACATTTTTAAAGGACATCAAAAGGAATGATACATCACTAAAGAAATGCACTCATTACATTAATACAAGTCAGTGTCACTAATTGACTAATTCAATGTGGAATACAATGCACACATAAGCGATATTAGATCAGTAACATGGTATAGGAAATACTTTTTACCATTTATAGAAGCATGTGAATATATGTAATGCAAAGTATGCTTTAATATATAAAGTTTAGTGGCTATTTAACTCTTTAAAATGCTAATGTGGAAAATAATTTTTTAAAAATTGACTCCCCTAGTTGCACAGTGGCTGCAACAATAAGCTCAAGAATAACGATTGTAAGGATGATGCAGGACCAGGCAGAGTTTCTTTCTGTTGTACATAGGGTCACTATGAGTCAGAACCGACTCGATGGCACCTAACAACAACAGTAGAATTTGAAGGGTGTAAAAATTATTTTCAAAATAGTAAAGTCTATCCATTCTGAGCAGAAATACACCTTTCACTCATAAGAGGAGAAAATAGTTGTGCACACATGTGTGCATGCACATATTGCTGGACAAATATAGGTGCTTCTTTTTGTTATATACTTGTAACAATACATGCTTGTTCAGTTCATGCTTCATACACTGTATGTGTTCTGTTGGAAGTGAAGGAAAGTATTTGAAGTAAGATTATAAAATACTCCAAGACATCACACACATTCACACATTATTATGGGAAAATTTTACCGTGAGCTATCGCAATCAAAACAGTTAGAAAAGCTATGGTGAGAACAGAGCAACTAAATGGAAAATTGCCCTGTGAATGCATAATGAGAAAGTTTTGAAAACATGCATAGTAACAAAGTTGTAAGTCAGGGATAACAAAATGAATAGAGGATAAGCATCCCCATGGAACAAAAACTATGCTATAACGCTCTTATTAAAGAGAACAATTGTCAGGATCTTTATAGTCAAATGACTATACAAAAATGAAAATCTGTAATTTAACAAATAATTCAAAATCAGGCTCCAAATTTGACATTTTATGTGCATTTTCATGTGCATGCCACATGGATTTTAAAAAATTTTTTAAGGAAAGTAAAATTATAAAAAGTACAGATTGTTTTCAAACAAAATGAATTTTACCAGTTTCAGAATCAGTCAAGTCAAAATCAGTTTTGTATGTTATTTCATCTCTTCAGTTATGCCAATCAGTCTCAGTGTGTAAGTCACTGATTCAGGACCTGTTGTGCCTAAGGTTTTACTAACTCTGTAGTATGCAGTTGAATCAATTCTCCACTTTCATTGCATAATAAGCTAGAAGAGTCCCCAAGAGACCATCTGGCTCTGGCTTTGTGTCAAGTTGGTCTGTTCCTGAATAGTTTGTTGTCAAGTACACTACATTAGAAATCAGAAGAAGCCTATTGTTGGCTCATCCACGCTTGGCCAGTTTCCTCTTTTGAAAAATGAAGTATTGAACTGCAAACACAGTTCTAAATTTTAGTAATTACCATTCATCCAATACTACTAATTTTAGGACTTGTTTTTAAAGAATAATAGACCAGAATTCCAGAATGTTCAATGTATGAATGAATGTAAGTTTTCTGTATCTTAAACGCAATCATCAAATGCAGCCTTCCTTGTGTATAACCAAACTCTTCATTACTGAAGTAAATCCAGTTAGTCTTAATATGGTATTATAGATAACTGAAAATATAATTTACATTTTCCTTTATAAGTTTTCCAAATTCAAGAAAGCTGTTACGTGGTCTTCTTTTAAACGTCACTAGAATAGACAAGCATATTCTGTTAAATTTTATATCAACCATCAATTTCAATTTCTCTATAGGAATCCATTTGTGAATCCTGTCTGTCTCATCAAATTTCTGGGACCTTAATCTCATGAGATGTATTATTTTTAAGATTTTTAAAATCTTTTTATCTTATTATATTCAGCATGATATCAAACAGCTATCTAAATAGACCGTAACATTGATTTCATGTCTGTATTGTTTGATACCCAAATTCAGCCATGTAATAATCTGACAGCATACCTGACTGCCCAGGTCTAACCCTCTAAAAAGATTTGCTTATGTCTTCCTAGAATATAAATTCCAACAGAATGATAAGAGAATTAAGTGGTTACATGTGTAGAGTCAGGAACAAAACAAAAACCTGGTTGGATTACTTACTTACTTACTTAGATGCATATTATTGATATCTCTTGATGATGCAATATATAACATATAAGTACTATGCTGTTGTTCTTAGGTGCCATCCAGTCGGTTCTGACTCACAGCGGTCCTATGTACAACAAAACAAACACTGCCCAGTCCTGGGCAATCCTCACAATCCTTGTTATCCTTGAGCCCATTGTTGCAGCCAGTATGTCCATCAATCTCATTGAAGGTCTTCCTCTTTTTTGCTGACTCTCTACCAAGCATGATGTCCTTCTCCAGGGACTGATCTCTCCTGATAAAATGTCCAAAGTATGAGACATAGTCTCGCCATCCTTGTTTCTAAGGAGCATTCTGGTTGTACTCTTCCAAGACAGATTTCTTCATTCTTTTGGCAATCCATGGTACGTTCAATGTTCTTCGCCAATACTACAATTCAAAGGCATCAATTCTTCTTCAGTCGTCCTTATTCATCGTCCAGCTTTCAAATGCATACGAGGCGATTGAAAACACCTTGGCTTGAGTCCAGCACACCTTAGTCTTCAAGGTGACATCTTTGGTTTTCAACACTTTAAAGAGGTCTTTTGCAGCAGATTTGCCCAATGCAACGCGTCTTTTGATTTCTTGACTGCTGCTTCCATGGGTGTTGTTTGTGGATCCACGTAAAATGAAATCCTTGACAACTTCAAACTTTCCTCTGGTTATCATGATGTTACTTATTGGTTCAGTTGTGAGGATTTTTTGCTTTCTTTATGTTGAGGTGTAATCCATCCTGAAGGCTGTAGTCTTTGATCTTCAACAGTAAGGGCTTCAAGTCCTCTTCACTTTCAGCAAGCAAACTTGTGTCATCTGCATAATGCGGGTTGTTAATGAGTCTTCCTCCAATCCTGATACCCCGTTCTTCTTCATACAGTCCAGCTTCTTGAATTATTTGCTCAGCATACAGATTGAATAAGTATAGTAAAAGGATACAACCCTGACACACAAATTTCTTGACTTTAAATCACGCTGTATCCCCTTGTCCTGTTCGAAAAACTGCCTCTTGATCTATGTATAGGTTCCTCACGAGCACAGTTAAGTGTTCTGAAATTCTCATTCTTCCAAATGTTATCCATAATTTTTTATGATTCACACAGTAGAATGCCTTTGCATAGTCAATAACACACAGGTAAACATCTTTCTGGTATTCTCTGCTTTCAGCCAAGATTCATCTGACATCAGCAATGATATCCCTGGTTCCACATCCTCTTCTGAATCCAGCCGGAATTTCTGACAGTTCCCTGTTGATATACTGCTGCAGCCACTTTTGAATGATGTTCAGCAAAATTTTACTTGCCTGTGATATTACTGAAATTGTGTGATAATTTCCACATTCCGTTGGATCACCTTTCTTGGGAATAGGCATAAATATGGATCTCTTCCAGTCAGTTGGCCAGGCAGCTGTCTCCCAAATTTCTTGGCATAGATGAGTGAGCACTTCTAGTGCTGC